AAAAACAAATCTCAGTGATATATTTCTCTGGTTTCGATATCAAATTCATACAAGAATCGACTACTTATTCCAAAAAAAAAAAAAAGGCTCTATTTTCGGATGAACAGACCCTAATTCATCAAAGTTACTATTGAACAAGCATTCATGAGTGGCGAACATATACATATATACTTGCAGTAAAGAAGCGAAGAAACGATGAGAGAGAAACAGAGAAAAGATTGGTACCGGGGAGAGAGAGAGAGAGAGAAGAGCTGTGAATGTTTAAGCAGAGAAAATGGTTTGGTTTTGGCTTTTAAAAGAGTTTTAAAAACTTAAATTGAGTCGTGAATGTTGAAGCAGAGAAAAGGGTTTGGCTTTGAATTTTAAATTGTGTTTTGTGACGTGTGGTTGATCATGGATTTTGAAAATAACTTTTTTGAATTAAATTTTGAATTATGTGTTTGATTATGAATTTTGAGAAGAGTTTTAAAAAAAATTGATTAGAATCGTTTGGGATGTGAGTTGACTTTTTAATTTTTTAATTATTTTTTAGTCTATAATTAAAAAGTCTCATTTTAAAATAATTTTTTTGAATTTTTGAATTTTTATAAAAAAACCAAATAATTATAAATTAAATATAAATATATTTTCTTATTTAACTAAAATAACTTATTTTATTTTATTTTATATGACTATTTTAACTTCAAAGGCATGTCAAACTAACCTTTTAAAAGAGAGCTAAACATAGCCTTGGTCCTGTTACCGTGGAGAGAGAGAGAGAGCGCTATGAATGTTTAAACAGAGGTTGCGATAACAGATAGTTATTAGAATCGCAATCTCAAGATTCTACTTACTTACGGTACTATACTGAATTACCGTAACCAATATTATAGGGTTTTTATAGATTCTCTCTGTAGAATCCCTAATAAATCACACTTTCAATTAAAGGAAGCACAACACAACAAATGCTCCGTTTGATTTAGATTTTTTTAGGCACCTGTTTTTTAGTTGATACGGATAAGTTATAAATAATTTTAAAAAAATTTGCTTTGACAAAAAGGACCACATTTTCACTAAAAAAAAAAAAATCTTTAGGACAATTACAAAAAATAAAAAAATAAAAAAATCCTTTGAGACTTATAATAAAATAAATATTAATTTTTTTATTTTGTCAATTTAAATTACAATATTTTGATTTGCTTTCAATATATTAAAAAAAAGAATATTTTTGTTATTAAATTCAATGTAAGTGTACATAAAATATTTAAAATATTTTTTTTATTGAGTTTAATGATTAAAATATATATATATTTTTTTTTTTGTTAAATTTTACTTATAGACAAATAATTTAAATTGAAAATAAATAAAAAATTTAGAGTCAAATTTTTTTAAGCATTCATTACGTAAACTTTTAGGATAATGATAAGATTTAAACATCTATGTTGGCATTAACTTTTAGATTAATTTGAGACTACTTGGACATTTTTCAATTTTAAATCTAAACTTCAAAGAATTTGGTATTTTCAAAAATGTATTTATTATCTATTTTCTTGAATACAAACGTGTTGAATTGACTTAATTTTTGAGATTTAGATAAAACAAAAATATAACGAATAGTTTTTAAGAGTCTTATCCCATAACAATCCCGTGACTTTGTTCCTAATAGTCATAACATTATTAAAAAGGAAACGGATACTTTAGTTTTAGATTTTGGATTGGAGTGTTATTTGGGTTATAGGCCGTTTTAATGATTTAAATTGCTTTGACATTTTGTATATTTCATTCAAAAAAAAATTAAGTCGATCCGTAACTTGTTCAATTTTTTAATAAAAAATAATTATATTTTCAAAAATAAACCATATATTTTTTTAGTGACAAACGTAATAAATTGAACAAATAACAGTTATTAGATCGACATAATTTTTTTGAATAAAATACACAAAGTGTCCGACAAAATAAACGGTTCAAATTATCAAAACGAGATCCGTGGTGAGTCTTACAGGCTCAAACAAATGGGCGAAATTGTGAATTTTTTTCATTCAACAAGGTTGTTTGGAAAGTTGACTTTTTGCCAATTTTTTTTTTATTTATATATTTTAAAAACGTATAAAAAAACACCAACAAAATTTAAAAATTTAAAAGTCATTAAAAAATAAGTTATACATTTCATGTCTTTTATATAATTTTATAAAAAATATTCGCAAATATATTAATCTTTTACACCTCATAAAAAATATCAAAAAATTAAAAAGTCAAATTTCAAACCACACCCTAATATAGCATTAATAGTTGTCTAATTTGTCTTGCTGTTAATTTCTTTAAATGTGAAGAATTCTACACTTTTTTATTATTTTTATTATTTGTTGATTCAAAATTCTACCCTTCTCAGCTTTGGTGCAAAGAGTATAAGCATACCCGTGAAAGACGTATACTCTAGCGAGTAGGGATGTTCGCGGTTCGATTACCGATTGGAGAACCTTCAATTTATCATTTGTCTGTTGGATTGATGGATTAGAAAAAATCAATCCGTATTGGTCCGTTAGATTGGCGGATACGAATTGAGCAGATTGACGGATGAATGCGAATTAATTTTGGCGGTTTAAGTTTTTACAAATTTTGAACATAATACAATAACTTGTCAACATTTTTTTGAATAACAATCCAACTCAACATAATTAAAAGATTATCAAGTAAATTGTTAAATACCAATAATAAATATATGAGAAAATCATGCATTATCAAAACTATTTCATTACTTTTTTTTTTATATTCAAAAACTATTGAATTTGATTTTTTTTTTAAAAAAAATTAAGCCTCATATTTTCCACACAAAAATACCAAATATCAATACTTGACATTTGATAAAAGGGTTTTCAAATTAAAAATACAACAGAATATCTAAACTCTTTTTCAATTAAAAATACAAACATAATATCTAAACAAATTGAAAATACAAAATCTTACAAATTACCAAGGGTGCTCACGGTTTGAAGGTTCAGTTGTGGCCAAAGGAATATCAAATCTGCCAATTAGGTGGATTGAAAAAAATCAATTCACAACCATCCGCTTGTCATCGCATATTTATCCAAAATGCGACGAATCGGTTCGATTCTATTAGTTTAAACATATCAAAATATTCTCTAAGCACCCTTAGGGTGTGTTTGTTTGGACGGATTGAATAATGAGGGATTGTAATCCATCGGACTATTAGTCTTGGGATACATTGTTCCCAGACTATTTGGTTGGACTGGTTTTGTATCATATGTTTGTTTAGTAATGGGATTAGATGTATAGCGATCCCGGGTTTACCCTTGTTGAACAGTGATCCGGACATGTGTCCGTGGATGTTGGTAGTTGATTATTATCTTGTTTACATCCTTTTTACTTCGTATTTGAGTTATAGGATGTGTTGGGCAGGTTTGTTATGGGTTGGTTGAGTTTAGAAACCAAAACTAGTTGCCCAGATTTTGGCCTGTCCGACGACGAGAGTTCAACACCAACGATGAAGATCGACATCGGTAAAGGTGGAGGCCGAATGAAACTCTCCATTAGCGATTTGAAACGACGAGACGACACGAGATGAGAAATAACGAGAGTTTAACACTGGCGAAGATGGAGGCCGAATAAAACCCTCCGCCAATAATGGAGTTCAATAGCGACAATGGAGACCAATACCGACGAAGATAGTCTCTATTTTGAAGATGGAGAGTTTTTGGTGTGTGTAATGGTGAAGATGTAGAGTTTTTGATGTGTGTAGTGGTGTGTATTGAAATAGACAAGTGGTGTGTTACCCCTATAGGGTAGTAATAAAAAGTTAAGGCGTGAATTAAGATATTTTTAAACTCAAAAAATTATTTTATATATGTACTAAGTAATGATGTGTACTAAGAAGATTAGTGGTATATAAATAAAATTACCAAATATTTAAATAACCTCATCATGCCCTCTAGTTCAAAGAAGAAAAAAAAACGCAAATCATGCCCTCAAAAGTGGTACATCAAAATAAACTTAAAATAAATTGCTTAGTCATGTCCTCCCAATTGATACATTAAAATAAACTTAAAAAATAAGTTTTTTTTTTTTTTTGAACCTCGAAAAAAGGATGTTCTGTGGGGGCATCACTACATCCGTAGGCCCAGGCTCCGGGGCAACCGGTTGCCGGCCTGATTTAACCCAACCCAAAGGAAGGGACCCACCACCGAGGCATCATCAACCGCCCCAGCCATGGCCAAGTTTCGATCGGAGTACAGCACGAGGTCTCAGAAGAGAGCCCCTGAAAAATCTAGGATTTTCGCGCCCCCTAGGAGTTGAACTTGACTCATGGCTGTGGGAAAGCAATACTTTCACCACTGGGCCACCACCCTCAGTGGTATCTCACCCCTCCCCCTAGGATACAATAATCCCTCATATGAGGAACTAATAGTCCGGAGAGACTATTAATCCGAAGCAAAAAAATTGAATCAAAATAATGAATTATTGGACTAATAGTTCAATCCCATGAAATAATTCCTCAAAACAAACACACTCTTAGTAGCTAGTAAGTCCCATTGCAATGATTTCTTCTTCTTTATTTTTTTAAATGCCCCATACGTGGAATTATTTGGAACCCGAAAACTTTTTAGAAACAAGAATGTTTCAAAAAGTGATCAAAATAAAATGTAAATTTGTAATTAAAACTCACCCCATATTAAATGTGAATCTATATATCATATGACTAAGAAAACATTAAAAAGCACATTTGTTGTGAAAAGCAAACTTTAGATACCTTTATTATGAATAAAACCTTGAGTTGGTACGGAAATCAGCAAAATAAATATAACTAGATATTGACTATAGCAGATATGATACTCATTTTGAATTAGTACAAATTTATCAATCAGTCAAGCAAGGGACACTGGGCAAAATTGGACCATTTTTCCTTCCAGCAACATTTTGACATAACAACGTCGTTTCTTTACACAGTTGAGTTGATTGAAGGTAGATGTCATTCATATATATATCTTTGCATGGAACTGTCTCACTGCATGCAAAGTATATCGCTGTGTCTTCCTCCAACGTCCAGTAAATATAACTGTATTTGATATTGCTAATTTGCACGGCTGATTTCTGAGAAAGTTAATTAAATTAATCACAATGTTAAGTTAGATTAATGTATTGTGAAAAGATCAAAAAATTACTATTTTTGAGTACAAAACTAAAAAATCCAAGTAAAAAAGGAGTCATAGTCGTAGAGTAAGAAATGCTCACTTGATTTTTACAATGTGTGTGGTCACAATAGTATTGATCGATGACGATGGGATGAACTGAACCAATGGATCTTATATGCTCAAACACAATGTTCTTAGCAAATCCGCTCCCTCCCTAAGCATGCCAAAGGGACAATATAATTAACAACAAAACTAACGAGAAAAATAGTTATTTATCAAATAATATAAAAATGGCATTATTGATATTAATAGGCATTGAGTTTTTTTTATTTATTTATTAAAGTGATAAACTTACAAATTTGCCTCATATATTATATTCTTGATATCATGACTCTAATAATCATATGTTCACAAATTACCTGCCATGTTTTGATTCTTGCTCCATTTGAAGTTCCTCTGAATTCCACATTGCTTACATAGACATTCTCTACTGTCTCATATTGCCCTCTTATACCTAAACTTCCAATACTTTTACCAAAGAAGAATTAAAAAATAAATGAAATCAATTTCAAAATAATAATAACAATAACAAAAGAAAGAGGGAACTGTAAAAAGGTTTTCCCTGTTACCTTATGCCATGACCTGGTCCACATGTGATCATGCTAATGTTGAGATATGATGAACCATCTCCGATGGAAATACAGTCATCACCTGCATTAATATTTTTTACTTAAAATTTGATAAACAACCAAATTAAAATATACGTATGTAAAGCACCATGCATTGACTTTCAGTTCCAAATCTTTTGGATGATTGCAAAATGCTTCCAATGGTAGAATTATGTAGGAATCTCGAAACAGAAGATCTTGCACAATAATTTTTTTTTTGGTCACACGGTATAAAATTAAGAGAGATAGTATTATTATGTTTGATAATATACCAGTCCCAATGTGAGTTTGGCTTATGAAGACGTGTGTGGAATGTTGAATGTGTATGCCATCAGTATTTGGGCTATCGCCGGGGGCAATGATGGTGAGATTATAAACATACACCCATGTCGACCTTTCCAACGCCATGTGCATTTGAGGGCTGTCTATGAAGGTTAGGTCACTTATATGCACATGGTTGGAATGTGCTATTACGAACCCCTGTAAAAACATGAAAATTTATTAAATGTTTTTAAAATATTATTTTTCAATACTATGTAGTACTTACAATGTAAACATAGGAACAAAATAATTTAAAATAAAGAATCTAGTGTCACTCACCGTTGGTTTTGACCCATGGTACTGAAAAGAAGAAAAGAAACTTATATTAGTAAAGCCAACAAAAAATATTTATTTTGTACAAAAAATTTAAATTAAAATGGCGTGACAGTGATAATTATTTTAAAAATAATTAAATGAAGTGAGAGAGGAGGCTTCTTGCCTTTCTATTGTGATTGACATTGGAGGAACCCCACCATTTGGTACCCTGGGCATTAATAGTACCAGAGCCATAAATGTAGAGACCATTGATCTCAACAAATCCTATCCATTGACGGCAGTTACTTCCGTCGCACTTCCATTTTGAAGGATGACTTGGTGCTGTTAGGTTTCCATCTATCTATAATAAACCATATCAATTTAACAATTCAATAACAATATATTAAAAATAAATAAATAAGAGAAAAATGAAAATATTGAAATCTATGATAGGGTAACTTATTTCTAGTTAAAAGAAAGATTGTACCGTGTTATTATTGGGCCAGTATAAGCCCACAATAGGAAAGTAAATATTTCAAATTATTTGTACTAATGAGTTATTGGGGCATTATAAGCCCACAATATTAAAGTAAATATTTCAAATTATTTGTACTAATGATTCTAGTTGTACAAAAAATTTAATAAAATATTTGAGACCCAAAAAATAATTTGACCTATAATGATGACATATGATATGAGAAAATTTATGAATCTAAAATTGTAATTACCATGACGTTATAACGGCTTCGGAATTACAAGGGCCACTAAAGATTACAGGTTGTAGCAAGAACTTATGGCTATCAGGAACGTGCATGGTTGGACTAAAACTTGAAACTTCCCTTGCCGAGCACGTAGCCTTCCATGCATCCTCAAAAGACTGCACACACAACTAAGCTTATAAGCATCTTCTTCTTCTTCTTCTTCTTTTTATTTATAATTATTATTAATAATATAATAACAATGTTATCGACTTAAAAAATTAATCTAAAAAAAAAGTCTAGTGTAATTTAGATTAAGTGTAGATCTCATTGTACAAAAGTTAAATCAAAACACTTTGCTTTTTGAGATAAATTTCTTAACATATTTTTTGAGTTATTATCTTTTCTGATAATACCCTAGGAATCCAACTTGTTTTTCTTACAATCATCAATTCTTCTATAATCTATATATATATATATATATATTTGTCAATTTAACAATTCAATAACAATATATTAAAAATAAATAAATAAGAGAAAAATGAAAATATTGAAATCTATGATAGGATTGCTTTTTTCTAGTTGAAAGAAAGATTGTACCGTGTTATTGGGGCATTATAAGCCCACAATATTAAAGTAAATATTTCAAATTATTTGTACTAATGATTCTAGTTGTACAAAAAATTTAATAAAGTATTTGAGACCCAAAAAATAATTTGACCTATAATGATGACATATGATATGAGAAAATTTATGAATCTAAAATTGTAATTACCACGACGTTATAACGGCTTCGGAATTACAAGGGCCACTAAAGATTACAGGTTGTAGCAAGAACTTATGGCTATTAGGAACGTGCATGGTTGGACTAAAACTTGAAACTTCCTTTGCCGAGCACGTAGCCTTCCATGCATCCTCAAAAGACTGCACACACAACTAAGCTTATAAGCATCTTCTTCTTCTTCTTCTTCTTTTTATTTATAATTATTATTAATAATATAATAACAATGTTATTGACTTAAAAAATTAATCTAAAAAAAAAGTCTAGTGTAATTCAGATTAAGTGTAGATCTCATTGTACAAAAGATGAATCAAAACACTTCGCTTTTCGAGATAAATTACATAACATATTTTTTGAGTTATTATCTTTTCTGATAATACCCTAGGAATCCAACCTGTTTTTCCTTACAATCATCAATTCTTCTATAATATATATATATATATATATATTTGATATGAATTTAATCTAACCAATTAGATAAAAAGTTTTACGTGACAGTGTAAATTTTATATAATACTATAAATATATATAAACATAAGTTTAATTGATAATAATTTGAAGTGGTCCATGATATTTGGAAAACAATATAACAAAACAAACAAATAAGCTTTTACATAAAATAAAATGACGTAATGTAATGGTGCAATGCATATGCATTCATCTGTACTGTACTTTTCTCTGATTTGTTTTTTTTTTCTTCACTGAGAGAAGAAAAAAAAATTGTGAAACTGAACTGAAGAGAAGTGATGTGCCAAAACAAATCCATAAAAAAAGAAGTTTTCAAACAACAATAATAATGTTATTAAAAAAAATTAAAAATTGAAAGTATTTTTGACCTGGGTATCATCAGTAGATCCATCTCCAACCGCCCAAAATCTAACACGTTAAAAGTTTGATTGTGACACTCTACTGATATTTCAGAAACAAGGAAGAAAACAATACAGAAGAGTAGCACACAGTTCTTCTTCATGGTTAGGGAGAGAGCGAGAGAGAGAGTAATGATGAGTGAGAATTATGGGTGGGAATGAAATTATCAGAGAATCAAAATACATATATAGTTCAAGAAGGAATGGGACAGGATTGGTTTGATATGTGAGAATCACAATCCAAAGTGAATTACGTCTCTTATTTAAATTGAAATTAGTCTTTTATTATTATCCACTAGTATGTGACTCATACAATGTATGAAATTTATTTTTAAAATGAAAATTTAATTTTGAGTCTTAATACTTTATGTGTAACAAATATTAACAATCTAATGGTTGATACAAAAATTTATCACTGTATGTGATCCTATGTAAAATAGGCTCATAAAAATAATTTCTTTTAAAGTTTAAAAAAAAAAGGATGTATTCTCAACCTAAAATCAAATATCATCATTTTCGATGAATCATGATTCTTTAAAATAATACTCACACTATTTATCATTTGACATTTATTAATTTATCTTCTAAAAATTTAACAAAAAAAGTATAGAGTTCCATTATTTTAATCAATCAATATCAAATTGGACGCTACACGTGTCGGTAAATCACTTATAGAAATATGATATCTCACATAAAATCTCAATGAAGTTAACTTTAATTAATGTAATAATATTTTATATTATGATATGTGTTACAGAAGAATAATTTTAATTTTAATTTAAAATAAAATTTTAATTTTAATTATTAATTTTAATAATCTTAACTTTATCGTTTTATAAAAGTATAACTTGAATACTTATATATAATAAATTTAGTTAAATTATTTGTTTATTTTAATAATTTTAGTTCTATCGTGCTATAAAAGTGTAATTATTATGTAATGATTTTATATGATATATATTAAATTATAAGATAATAAAATAAACACTCATTTTGATATTAAAAATAATAGTTAAATTAGAAGAAAAAAATTAGTAATATAAAACTAAAAGTGATTCTAATTATTTATTTATTTTATATTTATTTGGCAAATAAAAATAAGTGGAAATAGAATTACACAAAATTTATTTAAAAGATTAAATATAAATATGTTGTGATTGGATTAAGAAGAAAATACATAAATTAATTATGTACAATATTGATTTTTTCTTTAATTTCTTTTGGCATTATTTATACATATTGTAAATATGTATATAAAATTTAAATAAAATATAAATATTTTGTAATAAACAATTTCATGTTAAATAATAAATTAAATATAAATTAATATTTCGACATTAATAAGATAGGAAAAAAATATAAAATATAAAAGAAAGTTAATTTGATATGTGCGATGCATATAAATAAGCATATTCTGTCTTATTTTTTTTATTTGTATATTGAGATTTTTTTTTCCAATATCATAATAATTAAATTAAAATATCAACTATATAAAAAAAATCTGACAATGACAAACCTAGGCCTGAATACATGATGAAAAATAAGTATTTCTCAAATAGAATCCACAAAAAATTGGTTATTATAATTAAAATTGAATTTGTGTAGAATTTTATATTTAAATGAAAAATGAATGTTGATGTGATATTTTTATTTTTTATTTTTATAAAAAGTAAACCTTTAAAATGTGCTACATAAGAAAAGAAAAATACTACTAATATATATATATATACACTAACAGTTGACCTATGCAATACACATGCAATTTTAAAAAATATATATATATATATATATTTGATGTGCAATGTATGTTATAGAAGAATAATTTTAATTTAAAATTAAAATTAAAGTATTATTTTAATTATTTATTTTGATAATATTGGCACTATCATTCTATAAAATTATTACTTGAATACTTATATATATTAATTTTAGTTAAATTATTTGAGTATTTTGATTATTTTAGTTCTATCGTATTATAAAAATATAATTATCATATAAAAATTTTGTATGATATATATTAAATTATAAAATTGTAAATTAAATATTCGTTTTGATATTAAAAATAATAGTTAAAAATTATAAGAAGAATTAGTAACATAAAATTAAAAGCAATTCTAACTATTTAATTTTCTTTATATTCATTTAGAAAATAAAAATATGTAGAAATAGATATATATTATTATGAGATGTAGTCTCATTTAATTGTTTGGCTAGATAGTGAGCCATGTTTATGAATTTGAATTGGATAAGTAAAGGAATGTGGAATGAAACACGGATGTACTTGTCATGGGATTGGGAAGTATTGTAGGTTGGCTTACAAGTGTTAACCATTCATCGAATGCTAATGTTTTAGTTATCTCTCGTATATGGTTTACTATATCTTTACTGAGTTTTGGCTCACCCTATATGGGACATCATTTTCAGGTACAAGTGGTATGTCACCTCCAAGGACGTAGCTTAGGAGGCTGAATGATCTTTTGTTGTTATCTTTTTGTATTACATGTAAACCAAGCCAAGGGCTTATTTTGTATAAAGAGTTAGAACTCTTCTTTTGTGTAACCAAGTGCTGACTTGGAAAGTTGTAAGCTCGTAGGGCATTTACTTTTATTGTTAACATGCAATATTTTTGTAATGAATACTCTGATAAATGGAAACATGTTTTATTCTCTTATGTCTATGGATGTTGTGAATGTTGGGTTATATGTATTAGTTTGAGGGCGTTACAAATTGACCGGTGTAATGCATGTACTATTTTTTGTTTCCAGTGATGGTACAATGTGTGTTATAAAATAATAATTTAAAATTTAATTTTAATTTAAAATTAAAATTAAAGTATAATTTTAATTATTTATTTTGATAATGTAACGCCCTCAAAAATAAACCATATACGGAACCCAAGTCCGGATACAATAATCAAATGGGAAAAAATCGGGGTCGCTATAGATAATATTGGCACTATTGTTTTATAAAATTGTTACTTGAATACACACACACACACACACATATATATTAATTTTAGTTAAATTATTTGTGTATTTTGATAATTTTAGTTCTATCGTATTATAAAAGTGTAGTTATCATTTAATAATTTTGTATTATATATATTAAATTATAAAATAGTAAAGTAAACACTCATTTTGATATTAAAAATAATAGTTAAATTAAAAAATTAATTAGTAACATAAAATTAAAATTAATTATAACTATTTAATTTTTTTTATATTCATTTGAAAAATAAAAATATGTAGAAATATATATTATATAAATTTTATTAAAAAAATTAAATATAAATATGTTGTAATTGGATTATCATATAATGATTTTATATAATATATATATATACATATATATTAAATTATAAAATTGTAAAATATCAACTATCAATTATATTAAAAAAAATTTAATAACGACTACGTAAGAAAAAATCATATAACAATATTTAAACCTAAAAAGAAAAGTAATGAAAACATTCAAACGATAAATATATCTCAGTGTGTGAAATAATTAATCATCTGTAATATGATATCAAAACATAAAAGAACTTACTGTTCAACAATTGAAAAAATAGCTCAAGCAATAAATTCAAAATTTAGAGGTTCCTCAAGAGTATTATTATTGTGCAAGCTTTTCCTCCTATGTGTTGTGATTTTATAAAATAATTTAGGAAATGAAATATAATTTCATATATATATAGAATCACTATAAAATTTAAATGACAAATCCATAATATAAAATAATATAGAATTGATATTGGATATAAAATAATGTACAGGCAAATAAGGAAAAAAAAAGAGGCAATTTAGTATTATTTATTTATTTTTATTTTTTTTGAAGGAATTAAGAAAAAAACGTAAAATGCAAAATTGGTATTGAGTTTGTGAATTATCTCAATTTATGATGAAAAATATATGAAAAAAAATATTTGTCAAATAGACTTCATATAAAATATGTAAAGCTAGTCTACTTTAAATTAGTTTGAGTTTGTATAGAACTCTATTTGTAATTAATAAAATAAATGCCGACATAAAAGTAAGCTCTTATAATATGTGTCACCTAAGCATGAGAAAAATATTACTTATAATAATATATATGATATGATATATAATATGATGATTTTCAATCTCTCAGAGTTCTTTTTGTAGTTAAACTTCTATCTTTTCCGAGTTTTTTTGGATACTTTTGTTAGAGTCCATAGGAGGAATAATTTTTAGATACTTGTCATCCTATGTCTTATTTGAAGGCGGTTAGTTTATATAGTAAAATTAAACACCTTTATGTTGATATTAATCTAAAACATTTTCCAAATTGACACATCGACAATGAAAACACATGGATAGATAGATTTTCATATATTTTTTTGTATTTGATTTATGTATTTTTAAATTTATTGTTTGTTTTTCATATTTTTTTAAGTAATATATATATGATATATAATATGATGATTTTCAATCTCTTAGAGTTCTTTTTGTAATTAAACTTCTATCTTTTCCGAGTTTTTTTGGGTCCTTTTGTTAGAGTGCAAAGGATGAATAATTATTAGATACTTGTCAACTTATGTCTTATTTGAAGGTGATTAGTTTATACGGTAAAATTAAATACCTTTATGTTGATATTAATCTAAAACATTTTCCAAATTGACGCATCGACGATGAAAACACATGAATAGATAGATTTTTATATATTTTTTTGTATTTGATTTATGTATTTTTAAATTTATTGTTTGTTTTTTGTATTTTTTTAATAATATATATATGATATATAATATGATGATTTTCAATCCCTCAGAGTTCTTCTTATAGTTAAACTTCTATCTTTTCCGACTTTTTTTGGGTCCTTTTGTTGGAGTCCAAAGGAGGAATAATTTTTCGATACTTGTCAACTTATGTTTTATTTGAAGGCGATTAATTTATACAGTAAAATTAAACACTTTTATGTTGATATTAATCTAAAACATTTTCCAAATTGACGCATCGACGATGAAAACACATGAATAGATAGATTTTTATATATATTTTTGTATTTGATTTATGTTAAATTTATTGTTTGTTTTTCATAATTTTTTTGGTTTTGTTCTTAGGGGATTATTTTAGGGGCGTTTTTTCATAAATATTTTTTCACCTATTTATGTTCAATTTAGTTCACATTATTTTCTTATATTCCAATAAGTCATATGAGTGACATAGTTACCAAAATACCTCTAATAATATTCACATTTATAATATGAATGTTCCGTGATATAAATGTTCACATCACTAAATTACTCACCATTCAAAAAATATTTGTAAGGGTAGAATTGTCTATAAAATACTTTAAATATGAGAATTAAGATTTGGTAGATTAAATGTTCAAATAATAGAAATTATTGGAATAAAAGAATATTTTATGAACTAATTGGGATACACACACTTAAAAAATATTTTCTAATAAATCTCCCATTATTTTAATATTTTACGCAATTTTTTTTCTTTTAGATTCACATAATTTATTTATGACTTTTTTTCTAAAAAACTCACCAAATATAAAAAATATAAAAAAATACAAAAATTCAATACATTTTCATATTTTATTGTATTCAATGAATTTTTAAAAAAAAAATTGTATAAATTTTTTTTTTAATTATACCAAGATTATGTGGATCTAAAAAGTAAAAAAAAAAATGATTAAAATATTTTTAAAAATATAAAAAAACTACTTAGCCTCCATTTGGGAAGTAGGTTGGCTTTTTGACTTTTTGACTTTTTGGCTATTTTAGCCTGGGGCTAAAAAGCCTGGTTTAGGAAGGGTTTTTTGGCTTTTTAGACTTTTTTTGTGAGAGAGGAGTGTAATGATTATGAGTTGGATTTGATATTTTGTTTTTTGTGACTAAAACAACCTATTTTATTTTTTGTGACTATTTTAACCCCAAACCCACCAAAACCAACTTCCCAAACTATGCCTTAAAAACTTAAAAAATTAGTTTTGAAAAACCAAACAGATTTCCAAAAAAAGAAGTCACGCTAGGGGTGGGCACAAGCCCGTTTCCCACTCATCTCAGCCCACTTTTTTAAGAACCCGAGGGTTGGTTTGGAAAATTGGTTGGTTTTTTGGTTTTTTAGTTTTTTTGACTATTTAAGCTTGGGCTAAAAAGCTTGGTTTGAGAAGAGTTTTTTGACTTTTTGGTTTTTTTAACTTTTTTTGTGAGAGAAGAGTATAATGATTATGGATTAGATATGATGTTTTTTTTGTTGTGACTAAAATAACATATTTTATCTTTTATGGCCAAAATAGCCAAAAATAACCACAAAACCACTTCCCAAACAGTGAGATTAGTATTTAAACCTATAAAGTTGAGCTGTAAAAGCTTTTTAGGCTCACTTATTAAATAGGCCACGCTTGGAAAATGGTAATTGCGATCCGACCCAGCATTATTATTTTTAAGTAGTAAGGTAAATATCATTTTTATGTTCATTTATTATAGTAATTTAAATTTTATTAAGATATGAATAGTACTATTTTTTTTATTGGGCGAATTACACTAACAATCCCTATAGTTTACGGCTCGTCATTTTGGTCCCTGACTTTTCAATTGTGGCACATTTGACCATGAATTTTGAATCTTGTTTCAAATAAGGACAATTAAAAATATTATTACTTAATTTTAAGGGCAAAATGGTCAATTTGACAAAATATAGACTAATTTGATAAAAATAAATGTCAAAAAATTATTTTTGAATTTTTTAAAATTATTTCTACCCACAAAAGATAAAATTATGTAAAATTGATAAATCTTTTAGACTTTTATTTATTTTACCAAATTAATTTTTATTATTTGTTTGGATAATGATTATGTAATGGGTGGTTGTTAGAATTTTAATGTGTAATCGATATATTAATATATGAAATATTTTTAGTTTTGGATTTTTTGATTTAATAGATTTGTTTAATAATGATATCGAGGTTGTCGCCATATTTGACTTTTGAAAAAATAGAAACTAATTTAATGAAAATAAAAACAACTACCCGTTACATGATCATCATCCAAACACATAATAAAATTAATTTGGTAAATTAAATAAATAAATAAATGTTTAAAAGATATATCAATTTTACAAAATTTTGTCTTTAGCGTGTAGAAATAATTTGTAAAAATTTAAAATTATTTTTTTGACATTTATTTTTGACAAATTAGTTTATATTTTATCAAATTAATGATTTTACCCTTGAAATTAAGCAATGGTATCTTCAATTGTCCTTATTTGGAATAAGATTCAAAATTTAGGGTCAAATGTGTTACAATTAAAAAGTCATGGACCAAAGTGGCACAAACCTCAAATTGCAGGGACCGTTAGTGTAATTTGTCCTTTTTTATTTAAAAAATATCATTTTTAATAATAAAAAAAACCGCCTAACACTACCTTGCAATAATGTATGGCCGTAATGTGTTTTTTTTTGGTTGTAAAATTTTATGTTTTAATTTTGATTAAGAAAATTTAGAAAAGGTGCCCTTTAAATTACACTGGAAACCTAATTTAGGGATAATAGGTTAGAAACCTTCTTTATTTATTTATTTATTTATTTATTTATTTATTTTTATTTTTTTGAGGGGGTTAGAAACAGCTGTTTGGATCAACTTTCTTTTATTTGATTTTTTTATTAGCTAGTTTTAATTTTAGCAACCCAAAAGTTACATAAAAAATAAATATTAATCCACATAAAGCGGCTGTTTGGATAAACTTTCTTTTATTTGATTTTTTTATTAACTAGTTTTAACGATGCCATTTTGACACATTCGAGCCATTCGAGAATTCGGACCACCAAACATTTTTCCATAAAATATAGGTGAATTATTAATAGAATTGTTTTATGTTAATTAATATTTATTTTTTATGGGCTTTTATGTAGCTTTTGGGTTGCCAAAACTAAAACTAACTAATTAAAAAATCAAATAAAAGACCAAAACAACGTCGTTTTAGGCCATAAAAATTCGAATTACCTAACATTGTTGTATTTTATGTGATTATGTGGTTAACTCGGATTGATTCTATGTCTGAAAATTTATTGAATTCGCAGGTTCCCTCCCAAGAGAAATGTTTGAACTTCCTCATGCCTTTCCTGATATAATTATGAATATTATGTCACGGATCAAAATTAAAAAATAAAAAATCACGTACATTACTGGATCAAAATAAAAAATAAAAAATCACGTACATTACTAAATCAACCCTTGTGTCCCAATCAAGTGACTTGAATTTTTTTTCGCCATTATGCTCTATAAAAAATTATATCGTCAATTAAATTAATTAAATTTATTTATTTTTACTATCACATCTCTGTCAATTTAAGGTCCCTAACATTTCTATTTAGGGTAATTTATCTGACTAAACATTTCTATTCAGGATGATTTATCGCTGAATTTTTTATGTACAAAAAATAAATAAATAAAAAATTGCAAGCATCAACCATGTTATCAGCTAGCTATCTGTGAATGTACACATTACAGTGAATCATATGCAAAATAATCCTCTCAGCAGAATAAATGGGTTTCACCTCTTAAAATCCCTTGCAGTGTCAGTACAAGCATTACACATACACAAATCAGCGATAAGATTAACACTAAACGATTTGAGGAAAATGAGAAATGCAGTTAGTTGGGCAATTTAGGTTTCAAGCCATGTAAAAGTTCCCATGATCAAGAATCTGCTCGGGAGTTCCCCAGCCGATGGTGCAAGGTATGTAATTTTCTTCCTGAAAATGATAAATTAGAATTTAAAAAAACAAAAGAAAAAGAGTGCATGAACCACATCAAGGAATGAAGAATTTTGAAATCCAAACCTCTGAATATCTATGTCTGTGATACAGATGAACCCCGCGACATTACTGTAAGAAAAAAGTAATTATTCAGTTCATGCACTTAAACAAGGTTAAAAAATTTATAGACTAGTCAACTTAAATCATGAGGCCAAATGTACACTATAGTGGCGACATTCAAAAAAGTTTTACTAATTTACCTCCTATCTTATGATACCACGGATTTTGAAAAAAGAAATGCAAGGACGTTGCATATACCTTGAAATAATTTCGTCTGGTTCTTTGGCAAATGAAATAGCAAGAACCAAATGGAGCAAATCCCGGTTGATATTCACAAGAACCAATCGTGTAGGGTTGGCCAGCAGGCTCTGCGCCAATTGGCAGGGCTGAACGCGGGGCCTGTGGTCCACCACCAATTCTATAGACTCACAAATCACTGAAACTTGTGATATTGGAATGTGGGGAAAGATCATTTGCAAGGCCATAAAAATATTCCTCGAATAAAAAATATCGGCATGATTTAGCTTTATAACAAGGAAACACAAAAGGATTTGTTGAAAAAGGCAGGAAATTTGTAAATAATCATTCAAGATTCTCCACACTAACACAAATAACTAACGATTGACAAAATTCCTATACATATAACCGAAAAAGTTGATGTTTACCCTTATTCTGTAGCTCCTGGCCTTTTGACGAACTTTTGCATTCCTCGATACAACACCATCTGATTTTTGAAGTTTCACAACATCAACATTTGGCTTGCTTTTCAATACATCTTTCAGCATGCTGCAAAGTTTCTCCTGCACAGAGTTTGGGTGAGCTTAAAAACATGAACCACCCCGGGGTGAAAATTGAATCTGAAATAGTTTCTTAAGTTGCTAGCAACCAGTGCACATGCAAAACTAACAGACAAAATTGAACTTCCCAGAAGCACGATCAGAGTGTGGATATAATTAGTTTATCTAGAGAAACATGGTTTTCGATTGTTAAAATCGTAAATTTCAGCTGAAAAGTTTATCAATGTATCTCATTCTTTGACATGTCAACAATGGTGTTAATGTTGTTTGAATATCATAATATATTAAGCCCAATGTTGCAGTTAAGTAAAACTTATTGGCAGCTTAAAAAAATACAAAAATTAAAAATTGAAGTAATCCAATTGCAGCTCCAAAAAAAGTGAGCATTTGCAGCTTATTGAACTTAGAAAACAAATAAACTAAAAGCCTGACAAGTTATACCAAACAGTAGGCTTTGCCAAAATGCAGCAGCCCACAATAGACATTTTCAAAACTTAAAAGCAAAAAAAGCTGCTTCTAAGTAGTTTTACTGAAGTGGCACACAAACAACTATCCTAACCAAATCAAAGCAAATGCAACTCATAATAGGATTAGTTTTAATTAGATCGCAGCAATACACACATGACAAAAGTTTTCATATGGAAAGCATTTACCTGACCCAATGCATGAAGAAGCAACTGCATCAACATACAAAAAGATACTATACTAATTAAACAACATATCCCACATAATCAATACTAATGGAGCACTCCTGAATTTTAATATAACAAGCAGGACTAACAATGGAAACTTCAAACTCAGTTACCTCATAACCAACACCCTCTATCCATCCCATGGTATTTATTACCATGCCTGCAGCTCGAGATTCTGCATTTCCGGCGAACTGTCTCTCCAGAGTCTGAGCAAGCTCCTTCACAAGCACCTTGTACAAATCTGCATTGACACTGTGAAGTACCAGTTCTAAGAACATCCATGATAACTGGATACAGAAAAAGCTAACTACGATCTTATCCTCTATCAGTTCATCATGCAATTTCTATGTTCCTTTAGACTAAGATTCTTTTCAGCCTAGTTGTTTCCCTTGTAGCAAATAGATAACTCAACTGCAAAAGAGTACAAGCCCAACAACGAAAAAGATGGGATGAAAACAAAGAAACCAAAAAAACAAAATTTTAAGACATCCAATTAGTTTCACAGTACGATAAATTAATAGATACTGCTGATCCCATCCTGGAGATATATAATTTTCGTCCCTGAGCTATTTTGATTTGTATTTTCATTTATTCATTTCCCAACACTACTCTTATTTGATTGAAAAAGCAGACTTCAATACAATCTTATTTCACCATCTAACAAAAAAAAAAATACAATCTTATTCATTTAAAAGCATGAAAAATATTCTGATTGAAACATTTTTAGGGAAATAACTCCTTGATCAGAAAACAGTTTTAACTTCTCAGAGCAGAGCAACAAACCACACATAACTTGATAGGACAACATTAAAGAATGATTGAAAGTATCAAAAAAAAAAAAAAATTTAAAGCAGGAAAAAAAACTCCTCTCAATGGCATATATAGGTTTCAAAGCACAACCATTGAGGAAATCAAAAACAAAAATCAAGAATAAAATTCTTGAAAGTAAAGGAAACAAAAGGCAAATTCAATTTGAATCATGTTATGCCACAAAATTTAACTATAATTGATGCGGAATGGAGCGAGATTAACATAAGCATTTGAGAAAGACTGATGTCTACTACAACTATGGTATGTAGTCAAGTCCATCAAGCAAGATCAATCAATTAAACAAGTAAAATAAAATTAACAGTTAATTAAATACTATTAAATTTTCAACAAATTTACCATGGATAATAAATAAGCCAATGACTTGCAAAACAAAAATTCAAAAAGCAAAACCACAAATTCTTATATGAACAACAAAATTGAGATCTGATACAATATTTCGGTTGAACAAACCCTAATACATCAAAGTTTCAACTATTAAACAAGCATTCATGAGTGGCGAACATATACATATATACTTGCAGTAAAGAAGCGAAGAAACGATGAGAGAGAAACAGAGAAGAGATTGGTACCGTGGAGAGAGAGAGAGAGTAGAGCTGAGAATGTTTAAGCAGAGAAAAGGGTTTGGTTTTGGGTTTTAAAAAGAGTTTAAAATTGAGTTTTGTGACGTGGTTTCTGTTTTGAAAATAATTTTTTAAATTAAGTTTTGAACGGTGTGTTTGGTTATGAATTTTAGAAAGAATTTTAATTTTTTTTTTTTATTGGAACTGTGATTTTGAGCTTTGTGAGTTGGTTTTTTGATTTTTTGGTTTTTTAGTTATTTTAAGGTCTCGTTTGG